GGAACGGGGAATTGGGGGAATCAAAAAATCAGAGGGTTTTAGGAATGCTACAAAAGGCAGGCCTCAGAGTCAGCAGAAGTGCGATTAGAGTTAAGCAGTAGCCTTAAATTTGGCAGCAGAAAAATTATGTAAAAATTAGAAAAGTAAGGACAGAGAAAACAATGATCTGTGTACTAATGCTTGGCTAGAATACCTCCCTAAGCTACAGAAAAGTTTATGTACCAAGATATTAGGAAGTTCTAAGCTTAATAATGGAGCTCTGTGCATTGTATTTTAATGCTTACAAGCAGGTATTATATTCAAAATAAGCGATATTGTTTGACTGAAGGTATGTGTGCTTACAGTGGTTGGATAGAACTACTGTCAATATGCTTTTGCTTTCTGTGATTGGTCAAAAACTTTTAAAGTAAGTTATAACTTGAAATTCTTTGTCTGCTGGTGGGGCTGTGAGCTGCTGGCATCTTCCCATTGCCATAACCATGGAATGAGATTGATGCTGGAAGATAAACAGCTCAAGGAACATTCCTAGCAGTCCCGTCCCATTTGTGGTTTATACAGAGATCCCAGGCAGTGATATTGGAGCAGGTTGGAAAGGGTTAACGCAGGGGTTTGTTAGCTGTAGCATCCTGAGCATCCTTAGGGAACTTCCCAGGTAACAAACAGATGTGTCCTCAGATCACACCTGGGTTTAAACCCTTGCCACAAACCCCTCCTGCCTTTGGGAGCAATGCCAGGGGATGGTGGTGGCACTAAACACATTTAGTGCAGAACCTGGCTAATCAAAACTGGCCAGGACAAGCAGGTGCATTAGCAGAGGATAAACAGCAGCCCCATTACAGAAGGCAAACACAGAAATTCTGGCTGCTCACAGCTGTAAAGTTATGTCCTGAGGAAATACAGAGAGGTGGTAATTGGGAGTGATTAAGTTTAATTGATTCCCAGTTCCTCCATATCTTTTCAAAAGGCTGTCCTGGACCTTGGTTTCCTCCTTCCTGTTCCAACATAGCTCTTCTCCCCCCGATGTGCAGGTGTAAAAGCTTTTCTACACCCATGGGGGTAGTTCAGCTCCCAGGGGGCACTCAAGCACCAGCCAAGGGCTGATCTGTCCCCACATCCTGCTGGGTGTCCTGCCCCAGCTGCAGCTGCTGCCACCCCCCCTGCCAGGGACAAGGACAGTTCCTGCTCTGAAAGGTGCCCAGGGCAGTGCTGCAGGCACCATGCCTGGAGGGTTCAGGATGGGGGTAAATGGGGCACTTTGGGGTGTGGCGCAGTGGCCATGCAGGTGTTGGCTTCGGTGTTGGGCTTGGTCTGCATGGGGCAGCCACAGCTCCCCTGCATCCTCAATATCCAGGGCCAGTGCTGTTTCTCACTCAGGAAAAGTCAAATTAAATGCTGGGAGGTTGTTAGCTTCATTCCAGATGTTTGAGGTTTGAGAAGGTTTGCCTGGTTGGGGTTTTTTCCTGGAATCTTTAGTTAGAAACACTTCTTGGTGGCATTTTTGGAGGAAAACGCACTTCCAGAAATTAATTCAAAAATCAATCTAAATTCAAAAATCAATCTTAATTAAAATCTTTAAAAATTAAAGATTTTTTTTTTACATTTTTAATTTGAGTTTTTCTGTTAGATAATGAAGTATTTCCTACAGCATTTTATTGATGACCAGTTGGAGTTTCTTTGATTAAGCATATATATATAAAAATATACATATTTTATATATATATATATGGATAGATAGATAGATAGATAGATAGATAGATATGAGATAGATGGATAAATATATCATATATTGGTTTCCAACCCCAATCATATATATATATATATATGAAATATATATATTTCAGTTATATATATATATATGAAATATATCAAAATCTATATTGTATATAATATATATAGAAAATATATATTTTCTGTATATGTATAATAAAAGAAATTATTTGGATAATAGATATATAGATATATATCTATAGAGATAGGTAGCTATATATAGTATGGTTTATATAGATATAGGGATAGATAGATATAATATTTTTATATATATTTATATATAAAATATACTGGTTTGCAACTCAAATCATATATATATATATAATATAGAAAATAGATTTGAATAATAGATATGGATATGTATATATATAGATTATATGGATTATATAGATATAGGGATATAGACATAGCTATAGATATATGAGATAGATAGATAGATAGATCATATATTGGTTTCCAACACCAATCATATATATATATATGAAATATATATTTCAATAATATATATATGAAAAATATCCAAGTCTATATTCTATATCATATATATAGAAAATACATATCTTCTATATATATGATATAGAAAATTATTTGGATAATAGATAGATAGATAGATAGATAGATAGATAGATAGATAGATAGAGATATATAGATATAGATATATCTTTTTATATATTTATTTATAAAATATACTGGTTTCCAACCCCAACCTCAATCATATATATTATATAAAAATCGATTTGGCTAATAGACATAGATATGTACATATATATAGATTATATGGATGATATAGATATAGAGATAGGTATAGATATAGATTAGATATAGATAGATAGATAGATAGATAGATAGATAGATAGATATAGATAAAATATAGATTATATAGATATAGGGATAGATGCAGATATAAATATAGATTAGAGATACTGATATAGATTCAGATAGATATAGATATAGATATAGATATAGATATAGATATAGATATAGATATCTCTGGAGCTGGCAACAGAGCTTTTGTTGGCTTTCCTTTGGGGCCCAGGAAGTGAAGGCAGAGCAGACAAACTGAATATCCTGGGAGATGATTCCAAGACAACGCAGGCAGCTAATGGGCTGCAGGGCCTGTTGCAGCCTGGCTGTGGCTAACAGCAGTGTGTCATTCCAGAGGCAGCAGGCTGGGATGGCTCTGCTCTCCTGGCACATCAATCACTCTGCAGAGCCTTTGCTTGGCAGTGTCCAAAGCATCACTGAATCCTTAAAGGCACCTGGAGGAAGCAGGCAGGAGCTCAGTGGATGCCAGAGGATGCATGTGGATGTGTCAGCACCTCAGCATCTCGGTGGGAAAAGTCCATTTGTTGAAAGGGAAGGGAAAGGCTGACACTTAACACATTAAAATGGATTATTTCATCAATAGGTTAATAGAAAAGCAGGCTGCAGGATCACTCCTGCACACAAAACGTGCCATTAAAGTGTGAAAAATGGGAAAGGCTCTGGGAAAGGGACTCTGTGCACTGGAGACCATCTTCCCTTTCAGAGGGGTGCCAAACCTCGATTTTGCCTATTTATATGTAAATGCTTCAGAGGAAAAACAAGTTTTCTGCAGGGCAATTGTGCCTCTCTAGTGCAGAGACTTCTTAAACAGGTGTTTAAATGAAAGATCTTCCAGCTTGAAGGATGCACCCGATGGAAGCACTTTCAGATTTGGTGATGTCACTGAGAATGTGTCCTCCTCTTCAGCATGGAGCATTGAAACCTGCAGATTTATTCAAATCATACCTGGCTTAACAGTCAGGGGGTTCAGGCAGCGCTCTTCCAGCTTTAATTCTTCAGCTGAAAATGGAGCTTTCTGTTAAAGCCTGGGATGACTTTGTGTCCTGTTCCTTCTCCCTGTCAGCAGCTGTCTGGTCTGAGCTCCCCGAGGCACTACAGAAATTCCCCCATAAATATTAAAGGAAATTTTTTAAAATTATTGTATCCTGGAACTGGCTGTGCTGTGGGGTGTGGATGACATCCTAAAGGGTGAGGGACATCTGTGGTGGGAGGTAGAAGGGTCTGAGGTCCCTTAGGAGATTTCTTGAGTCCAACCACCAGCTCATCACTGCTAAACCCTGTCCCACATCCAAATGCCATTTACACACTTCCAGACAGGGCAATTCAAGCACTTCCCTCTTCCAGTGGCTCTCAGGTATCCTGGTCTACTCAGATGTTTCATCTGGTTCCTGTGTGAGGAAACCCAGCCTAACTTAAAGATTCTAAAGAGGGTGACAATGTGCTGTCCCTAATGAGCCTGGGAGCAGGGTGCTTTTGAGCCAGATTTTCTGTTCATTGTGAAGCAGCAGCTCAGAGGATCTCAAAGTTTGGGTCAATTCTAATAAAACAAGGATGCTGCTATTCTATGTAAAAAAATAGGCTTTTTTTTCCCTCCTTTCCAAATAAACACTCTGATTTTGCAGTGGGGGAGAATTTTTGGAGCAGCCTAGCATAGTGGAAAGTATTCCTGCCCATGGCAGGGGGTGGAACAGGATGGGCTTTGAGGTCCCTTCCAACCCAAACCATTCTGGGATTTATTTTATGGTTCTGCTTCCTCTGAGCTCAGTGCTACAAAGGACATTTGCTGGGATGAGGGTTTAAGGTCATTACATCATCACCTCTGTTTCCAAAGGTGGTGATGTAAAAAGGAGGTTTAAGGGTGAACTCCAGGCACCAAGTGATCCCCACAGGCTTTTGGAGGAAAAGGAGCTCTTGTCTGGCTGTGTTTTGTCATGAAGTAAATCACATTTTACAGTAGCTGTTTTGTCCAGTCCTGTATCTTCTGCACAAACACTTCCTGCCTTTTTTTTTCTTTTTTGCCTTTTTTTCTTTTTTTTTTTTTTGACTTCTACTGGTCTGTTTTTGTCTATTCCAATAGCAGATCCATTTAATCTTGTCAAATCGTGTCATGTTGTGGTGAGTGAAAGAAGAATCACTCTGAATATGAGGTTTTCCACACTAGCCATGGATTGCAGGGGCTGAGTGGTCCTTGTGTGCATTTTCTGTGTGTAGCTCTTCACGTGTGAACAGGCTCGTGCTTGGATTTTACTTCACATGCTTTTTGATGTTTCTTTTCTCCCCTTTTTCATTGAAAAAACAAAAAAAAAAAAAAATTTTTTTCTTCCTTCCCCTTCTTTTTTTCTTTATTTTTATTCTCTTTTTTATTATTATTTTTTTTTCTCTCTTCCCCTCCTGCTCTCTGGACGCAGCCAAACGCAAAGCTTGGAAACTAAACCGTGTTGGTAGCCTGCGAAATATTTACAGCAGCAGCAGCACCAACACCGAAGGTAACAACCCCACCTGTCCCAGCCAAACACCTCCTCTCTCCCCCCCTTTTTTTAACCCACCTCTGCAGAATTTCACCCTCCCTGCCCCTCTCCCTGTGCCCCTGGAGATGAGATTTGCCCCAAGCATGCGTGTTTGTTTCCACCCTGTGTTTGCAGAGTCATTCCACTTGGTCTTTTCATCTTTCTCTTCGTGCCTTTTGTTTTGCCATTCATGTTCCTTTCAGCTTACTTAAATTTTGACCTTTCCCTCTAGTCGTGGAGTGGTGATGTTTAAATTACTTCAGGAACCCATTTTCTCCTTTTATTTATTTTTTTTTAAGAGATACATATATATATATATTTTCCCTTTCTCCATGTGGGCACTCAATGTAATATTTCCCAAGTTATTACGGTTTTTAAAAGTGTTAGTATCAGGTGTAATGATCTGTAGCCAAATACAATAGTGTGCCATGACATTTAAGTAACAATCTTAATTTGTTTTGTGCAAGCCTTCTCCATAATGCTCTTTGCAGCTCTAATCCAGAGGCGAGACAGTGCCGGGTCATTTGCATGTGCTACTCTTGCTTGTAAATTCTGGATATTGTTGTATTTCTAAAGGTCACCCAGTGCCAAAGTTCACAAATTGACTTACATTGCTGGTTTTTTCCCCCACCCAAGGCACCAGTCATGCCTTCTGTATAATAGCACAAGGAATTTTATGTATTTATTTCCCCCCCCCTCCCCTCTCCACCTTCAAACAACACAATTACAAACTTCCTTTTTTTTTAATATATATATATATTTTTTTTTTTTATTATTATTACAAATGTCAAAGGTCAGAACAACTCGCAAACCAAGCAAGGAGGAGGGGAGGGGGAGGAAAAAACCCCACCAGCAGCATCTCCAGCAGCATGGAAGAGGGATGGTGGAAGGAACAGGGAATGCAAAATAGGTCACAACTCAGTAATCTCGCTATAAGGGAGGGGGATTTTTTTTTTCTCTTCACTTAAGTGCGAACCAAATGGGTCAAGTAATCGCCAGCTCATGCCCTAACACTAATTGACTTATTTTGGAATGATTAGAACTGTAATATTTTTCTTAATGTCACTGTTTTCTGGGCTGTTGATTTTAGTGATTGCCAAGCGGTGGCATTAAATCTCTTGTAAATTTTAAATTGCATGCTATTTCTGTAAACAAGTCCCTCTGTTCACATCCTGATCATTAACCTTTGGTGATTTATATCACCAGCCTCTTTTTGCACAATTACAGCCCAGGCTGCTGCTGGGGGCCTGGCTCTCCCTGCCAAAGTGTGCACAGGAAACAAAAGTGGGGTTTTATTCCAGCTTGTTAAGGCGGCTTTTTTTTTTTTTAACTATAATTTTATTTCATTTCTCAGCCCAAGTGTAAAATCATTGCTTTTCAGAGCTGCTAAACTGGCTGGTTTGATCCTTTCATTGTCTTTTCAAATAAATATGAAAAGACAGAGAGTGACTGTCAGATATTCATAAGTCTTGGGGTTGTCTTTTTTCCACAAAGACACTTTAATAATTTTCAATTTTCTACTTGCTGTTTATACCTCCCAACCCTATTTTTCCTCTGATCAGGTGTGTTTGTTGCTACAGGTTTAGTGCTTGAGAAGCTTGTGAGTTTTTATTTACCTGTTCATAAACTGCAGCAGAGGAACAAATATCTGGAATTCCCTTGTGTTTTACAGATCAAGGTTTTGTAGGGCCTGTCTAATTTGAGGAAATTTTATCTTACTGAGCAAACTGAGTACTGAAGGCACCTTGGTATGGAAACACAGTCGTGCTGGCCATGGCCCAGAAAGTTTTGAGACACAACATCAAAATGAAATTGTAAAATTGGGCAAATGTATCATTTTTTGGATGTTTTATCCCCCCCCAAAAGCTGGAGGTTCAATGTTCTCAGCTGTGAGCTGGTACTGTGAGAGAGCTGGAATGGTGAGACATGCAAATGTGGAGTTAATGAGCATTGTAAGTATTAAAAACCACATGTTTGGATAATTATGCCTTCAAAAAAGAGAACGATGATGGGAAATGACAGTCCAGAATAACAAATCTGCTTTGCTCCTTGGCACACGCTTGCTCAGTGCCACTCACACCTATCCACACACCAAAAAAAAAATTCCCTCAGCTTCAGCCCTGGTTTGGAAAGCTCTCCAATCATTTTTAGCTCCCTGCTGGTGTTTTTAGGTGCCCTGCCAGGTGGGCAGAGCTCAGCTGGGGCTGGGGGAAGCTGCAGCCCAGGTGCTGCTCTGGGTAGCTGATGGTGGTTTTTGTGCTACCTAAAGGCCAGACAGAATTAAGGGAATAAAAAGCAGTTTTATTTCTTGAAGGGCCTTCAGGAGCTACAGCCAAAAAATGGACAAAGGTTTTCATACTTTTATAAGTTTGGGCCATTTGCATATTGGGGGTTAATCTCTCAATTACAGCTGCAGGTAATGAAATCATTTACCCCAAGTTTGTTTTCCCAGCTCACTTTTGTTTACATCTCTCAGGGTGTCCTTGATTCCCAGGCCTGGAGAGGAATTGTGTCTGACCAAAATGGGAAAGCAGTAGAGAACACTTTATATGGAGTTCAGAGTTATACACTAAAGAGTTGCAGGATTACAGTTACAGGAAAAAGAGAAGAGCTGAAATCGTAAGGCCTCAATAATCCCCTGCATGGGGGGACTCTGTGCTTGGGCTTCCCCATCAGAGGGGCTGCTCACTCCTGGCTGTTTCACAGCAAAAATAAGGTTTGGGTGGGATTTTCCCCAGCTGTGGGATCCCAGCTGAAGGACTCAGCCTTCTGAGGGTGTTACAGAGTCACTGAGGTTGGAAAGGCCCTCCCAGCCCATCGAGCCCGGCTGTGCCTGATGCCCACCTTGTCCCCAGCCCAGAGCACTGAGGGCCACCTCCAGCTGTTCCTTGGACACCTCCAGGGATGGGCACTGCACTCCAATCCCTGAGCACCCTTTCCATGCAGAAATTCCTGCTGCTGTCCACCCTGAGCCTGCCCTGGCCAGCCTTGGCCATTCCCTCCCCTCCTGTCCCTGTTCCCTGGAGCACAGCCCAACCCCTGCCTTGCCCAAGAATTGCAGAGTTACCTCCTCCATCAGATCTCTCTCATTACAAGAAATCTCACTTTCATTCATGTTAGAGTTTGCCTGAACAGTTTAGCTGTCAGATTTTGGGTGCTTTTCCATAGGAAGCCAAATGAGAGAGTCCCACGTGCTCCCTGTTGCAGGCAGCCAGGCTTGAAGCAATCCTTTGCTTCTTTAGGGGGAAAAATAGGTAGTATTGTATAAATAACAGTGAGTGTATAATAACATATACTAGTATACAGCATATAATAGTATATTATATAAATAGCAGTGAGTATATAATATTATATACTAGTACACAGTATGTAATAGTATATTATATCAATAGCAGTGAGTATATAATATTACATACTAGTACACAGTATATAATGGTATATTATATCAATAGCAGTGAATATATAATATTATATACTAGTATGCAGTATGTAATAGCATATTATATAAATAGCAGTGAGTATATAGTATTATATACTAGTATACATTATATAATAGTATATTATATAAATAGCAGTGAGTATATAGTATTATATACTAGTATACACTATATAGTAGTGTATTATATAAATAGCAGTGAGCATATAATATTATATACTAGTATACAGCATATAATAGTATATTATATGAATAGCAGTGAGTATATAATATTATATACTAGTATATAGCATATAATAGTATATTATATAAATAGCAGTGAGTATAAATAGCAGAGTATACAATATTTATATAGTATATAAATAACAGGGAGTATATAATATTTATATAGTATATAAATAGCAGTGAGTATATAATATTATATAATAGTATACAGTATATAATAGCATATTATATAAATAGCAGTGAGTATATAATATTTATATAGTATATAAATAGCAGTGAGTTCTAATTCAAACAAACCCCACTCTGGTTTTAAGGGTACCTTGCACCTGTTATCATGGGTGCATTATTATTATTATTAAAATACAGAATAATTTCTGTAGTATTTCTGTAGTATCATTAAAATACAGGATAGTTTCTCCTGTACCAACAGATTTCAGGCCAGGTTGGACAGGGCTTGGAGCATCCTGGGATATAGTGGAAGGTGTCCCATGACAGAGGGTGGAGCTGGATGAGCTTTATGGTCTCTTCCAGCTCAAACCATTCTGTGATTCTATGATTTTGCAGCACAGCAGGAAGGATTATCTTCAAAGAACTAAAAACCTGTACTCTGTGTGGATAAAGTTATTAAATCCTGATTTTCCCCCTCCTTACTGTTGCATGATTTTGGTTGGATTTGCTGAGCACTGAGGGAAAACCTTTTTGTTTGGGTACTCAAGCATCTTGGCAGCCCCAAGCTACCTTTGGTTTTAAAGTCATGCTGTTGCTGCCATGCAGGAAGTTACATGTAAACTGGATTTTTTATTTTTTTTTCTGTCTAAGCTGAATTTTTAAAAATTTTTCAACTTGGGTTGTCTTGGCATCCAAATAAAACATCGAGCCCAAGAGGGAGAGGGCTTCAGTGCCTTCAGCCTTTCCCCACCACTCAGAGAAATGTGCTATAAACCAGAATAAAACTCTTCCAGTGGAACACAACCTTTACCAAGAACTGTGGGTAAGTGACAGCAGAGCTGCCTTGTCCTGATGGGGTTGATTTTCAAAACTAATTAGATTTAGACACTGGGTTTGGAAAGGGGAAAGAAGTATTAGCATAGCCATGCCCAGTGGGACATGGCACAAATATTTCCTTAATTGAGGCTGCTAATAAACATACTTATCTGCCAAGTGAGGGGGGTGATTCTCACTGAGTGGCAAAGGTGACTGACCCAACACACGTGGGACATAAATAACACAATTGTTGTAAACAAATTGTGCTTGTAAACAACTCCTGTTGCTTCCCAGAGCACCCCAGCAGCTCTTCCCTCCTCCTTTTGAAATGGTGAAGGGTTGTGGTGCTTGAGCAGAAGAGATTTTCAGGAGAGATGAAAAAGGAGCTGAAATAGGTGTGGGTGTTACTCGAGGCAGGCTTGGCTGGGATTCAGGCTGCAACCTCAGCTCTTGAAGGTGCTTCAGGAGCATTTGAAACACACCCACGAGGGGTTCTGGTGCTGCACTTGACTTCTTCTTGCTGGGAAGTGTTTCCTGTGTGAGTGGCACCACCCTCCAGATGTGCATGATGAGTGCTGTTAATTAGCAGCAGCACCAGCATGCTCTGCTGTCAGACAGCTGTGCTGGGCAGAGATACAAGTGCACAGCCTGGTGGGCCTGGAAGCCTGAAAATCCAGTCTTATTCTGGCAAAATACTCATAAATGCTTCTTAGATATACCTTCGTATGTATTTATTTAAAGGGCAGCTTTCAGGATGGGTGTGATTCCTGCGCAGCAGAAAGGAGCCCTTGCCTTGCTGAAAGGTTGGACCAGGTGATCCTTGAGGTCCCTCCCAACCTGATCTCCTAGGATTTTGTGACTTGGAATTGTGCCCCTCACTGGTGCAAGGTGTTATTTATGCAGTTCTTAATAGTGAGAGTAAAATAGGAGGGGAGTGGGGATGGAGACCAAGTGATTTGTGCACATTATTCAGAGCCACTCCTGAGACACCAGGAGGTGGGAGTGCTCCTGGACATGTGTTTTCCCTGCATTCCACAGACTAAAAATGGAGTTCTCTGGAACAAGTTATGGACTAATTGTATCCTGTGGTAATTTTCAGAGTTTCTAAACCTGATCCCAGTCCCACATCACAAACACGTGGCATGGGGAAGGCAGGGGGGCCATGCCCTGCACATTTGTTTTTCCTTCCACAATCCCTTTCTCCTGAGAAATTGTATCTCTCTGTTTTCCAGAAGTGGGTGGGCTGTGGCAGTGCCTGGGTTTTTGGCAGAGCAAAATAAATTGTGAACTTGGGTGTGAAAAGATGATGGTGAGAAGTGTCCCTGGAACCCCAGAATGATTTGATTTGCAAGGGACCTTAAAGCCCATCCCATTCCACCCCTGTTAGGAGCAGGGACACCTCCCACCATCCCAGGCTGCTCCAAGCCCTGTCCAGCCTGGCCTGGAACATTTCCAAGGATGGAGCAGCCACATCTGGGCACCCTAAAATTCACTGATTCCATGTGGGCTTCCACTAAAAGAAAAAACCCCTTGTGCTTTTCCCTCCATATCATCACAATCTCACAGTTTTGGCTCATTTCCCACCCCAGCCACTTTTCTCTCTTCAAAAAAACAGGCAAAACAAACAACAACAGCATTTTAGACATCTCCTGTTGATAATAACTTCCAAATGGAAGTCAGTGGCAGCTGGTTCTTCACACTTTAACCCTTCCTCTGCTGCCCTTCCAGGAAATAATTGATGACTGATTGGCCCATTAACCTTTTTTTCTTTAAAAAAAAAAAAAAGTTTGACAGCCTGGACTTGTGTAATGAGGAGGGATTCCTGGTGAAATCAGGCTGATGGCTGAGTTGCTTGCCCCTGAGGATGCAAAATTAGCCCCGTGGGACCTCGTCTGCATAGAAACTGGACACAATTAGTGTAATATCCGGTGTTATTAATGTAGTTTGGAGTAATTGGGCAGGTTGATTTCGACAGGTTGATGGTGCTAAAATACTATTATAGTGGACCTTTCCATGAATAACTGTTAAACATGGAAAACTGTTTAATAAAATTTTGTGATTGGGCTCACAGGGATTTAAATAGCACAAGCTATAATTTGGCTGAAGAGTAAAAAGTGAACAACTTCATCCTCCTGCCTGGATTTTCCTGTTCCTGTGTGCTGTGCTTAAGGACATACAGGAACAGGTTTGTTCCTTGTCTTCTGAAGGAATTGCCCTGGGGCTGATGTAGAGCAGGCTCTGCTGCTTTGTTTCACATTTGAGCTTGGGGGGGGAAATATATTGGTGTGATTAAGTAGAAAAAATTAAGGAGGATGCCTTCAACCAGCACAGCTTTTTGGGGAGTAAATCTGAAGCTTCAGTGGATATGGAATCATGGAATTATTAAGGTTAGAAAAGACCTACAAGATCATCAAGTGCAGCAGTTAATCCAGCACTGCCATGTTCACCACTAATCCATGTCCCCAAGTGTCACATTTACAAATTTTTTAAAGACTCCAAACCTCCCTGGGCAGCCCCTTCAATCCCTGACCCCCCTTTCCATGGGGAAATTCCTGCTGTGCCCACCCTGAGCCTGCCCTGGCCCTGCCTGAGGCCGTTCCCTCTGCTCCTGAGCCTGTCCCCCCAGCTGTCCCCTCCTGTCAGGAGCTGTGCAGAGCCACAAGGGTCCCCTGAGCCTCCTTTGCTCCAGGCTGAGCCCCTGCCCAGCTCCCTCAGCCCCTCCTGGGGCTCCAGACCCTTCCCAGCTCTGTTTTCTTCTCTGGACCTCAAAATGTCCTTCCAGCCCCACCTGAAAAGGTGCAGCAGCTCACCTGGGCTTATTTCTCCTGGGCAAATCAGCTCCAAGTGTGTGATCAGCATCATTAAAGAGGAGATCAGAGGAGTCAGTGGTGCTGCAGAGACCTTAACTGCTGTGTTCTCCTCCTGTGTTGTGCACAGGGCTGGATGTGACTTCGTTTTTTGTGGAGTAGTTCCTCTTGGATCTTCCTCAGGAAACCCTGAAAGCTCTGCTTGATAAACGAGCCTTTGGCCATGATTAATTCATGGCATTTTGGGTAATGTCTCTACCTGTTTGTCTGGAACAGTGTGCTGCTAAAGTGGAACACTTGTGCATCATTCATCTTTGAGCCAGGTGAATGACATGGAGCTGTGCCAGGGGATGTTTAGGTTGGATTTTAGGAAAAGGTTCTTCCCCCAGAGGATGCTGGGCGCTGCCCAGGCTTTACAGGGTTTGGTCACAGCCCCAGGGCTGCCAGAGCTCCAGGAATGTTTGGACACCACTCCCAGGGATGGACAGGGTGAGATTGTTAGGGGTCTGATCCTTCTGGATCCCTTCCAACTCTGGACATCCCATGATTTCTTTTCCCACTTACCCCATGCACCGTTTTCCAGTAAATTAACTGGACCCTCAGGTACCTCCCTGCACCTGCAAATGACATTCAGCTCTGTGTTTATCCCCACCTGGAGGTGCCAAGTCACCTCCTGCTGCCTTTGAGGCATCCTTACAGCATGACATGGAGCTTATCCAAGAACAGCCCTTGTCCCCAGTTTGGGAGCAGAGCTGCCAGCAGTGCTGTCCTTAACTCTGCTGCTGGATTCGTCCCTGATCTTTGCATGTTTATGGATGATGAGGGAACACAGTAGTGCCATGGCTCTGAATATATAATCAGTCATTATCAGACACAATGTTCTTTCTGAAGCTCGTTAGGGCTGATGTTCACCAGAATTTTGTGCTCTATTATTCTTTTCCTTTCATGCTTCGTGCCAGCCTGCCCCAATTGCACTTTACTGTGTTTCAGATTCCTTGATTTTTTTTAATTTGGCATTGGTGTCCCATGTGTAGGTGGGGTGTGTGTCCATTTATTTCAGTGCTGCTAGTATTTCCATGTGCTGCTCCTCTGGCCTGAATACTTGTCCTCCTCCTCCAGCAGCCCTAAGGATATTTCACTGACCCTCTCTCCTGGCTTCTCAGATCATTTTCTCATCTCCCATGTCAGATGTGGATGTTGAATAGGTTGAACTGATTTTAATCCTGTATTATAGCCCAGTAATTATTATTATTATCCCAGTATTTATGCTGTAGAAGAGAAAATGTCCACATCTGCTTTAATATATCTGTGCTTGTAAAAACTGCTTGAAAGAGGAGGGTAAATTGTTACATTTTCTGTATTGTCAGCTCTTTGTGGTCCATTCATCTTTTATTTTGTGGCACCCTTTGATTTTTACATTATGCAGCTTTTAGCACCTCAGGTTTAAATCTGAATGATGCTTGTTGGCCACTTTATGTTTGATTAAGGCACAGACTCGATTCCAAGCTCACAAACACAGGCACTGAGTATTTACCCAAACCACTGCTTTACCTGCACAGCATTTGGACAGAAAAGAGGGGATCCTGGTTGTTTCCTGGTGCACTGTGCAGGGCAGGGCCCACACCTGCACTTACAGGATTTGCACAATCCCAGAATGGTTTGGATTGGAAGGGACCTTCAAAATTATCCAGTGCCACCCTTGCTATGGGCAGGGACACCTTCCACCACTGTCCCAGGTTGATGCAAACCCTGTCCAGCCTGGCCTTGGGCACTGCCAGGGGTCCAGGGGCAGCCACAGCTGCTCTGGGCGCCCTGTGCCAGGGCCTGCCCACCCTCACAGGGGAGAATTTGTCCCCAGTATCTCATCCAAATCTACCCTCCTTCAGCTTAAAACCATTGAGTAATACAAGTTCTTACCAACCAAGATTGTTCTTTTCACTGTCCTTAACTTAATCTTTTCTTCCTATTGCATTTATTTTTTTCTTTTTTCTTTTTTTTTTTTTTTTCCCAGAGCAAGAAGAGAACTTTGAGTTTATCATTGTCTCTCTCACGGGCCAGACTTGGCACTTTGAAGCAACCACCTACGAAGAGAGGGACGCGTGGGTCCAAGCCATAGAGAGCCAGATCCTGGCCAGTTTACAGTCCTGTGAGAGCAGCAAGAACAAGGTATGGGGCACAGAGCAGTGCTGGCAATGGATCAGGGGATCATTAGGATGACAGCAAATTCTGGATTTTAAGCCCTTATCCCCCAAACTGTGTGTGCTCCCCCCACAGCTGAGCAGGGTCAGAGCTCTCTGAACGTGGCCTGGGAGGAGCAGCTTTCCCCCTTGGAGTGCTTTCCTCTGGTGACAGAAGGAATCTGCTCACCTTTCCTGTCAAAACAAATGTTTAAAATCTGAGAAGTCTTCAGCCAACACTCATTTTGGGAGAACTTGTGTGTCTTGAGGGCAATTGTCTGTAAACACTTCAGAGGAGAGAGCAAGGTGCTGAGTGGTGATTGAAGGACAGAAATGGCCAATGATTGTTGATCATTTCAGTCCAGAACTGTAGATCCTTTAATATTGCCCACCTAACAGTTGTCTTTCATGATTTTATACTGCAAGGGAGACTCATTTTTAAATGAATGGCTGCCTTCATTGCCCTGGTGTGACAGACTGGATCAAACACCAGTAATTACCATCATCATAACACAATTTACTTCCCATTTTGTGTTTAAAAATGGGTTTTTTCCAACATATATTCCTGAGATGGAGGAAAATCACAGCTTACATGTTTCTTGCTTAGCATGGGTTCACACATTCTGAAATGAATGTGTGTTATGAGAGCACAGAAGGGGAAGTTTGTACATTAACACCTGCCTAAAAAGATGAATACAAAAGGATAGAGAGTGGCTGGGCAATGGCTCAGAGAGGTTTTTCTCACTGGGTTCCCAAAGCATGTCAGAAGAACTGGCTGGAACAGCAAAGAGCAGTTGGGTAGACAGGTTTAGCAGGTGTCCCATGGAAGTTGTGTTTCCAGGTGGACATCCACAAGTCCTACTTGGTGTCTTGGTTTGAAAAGACAGGTGTCTGCTCAGGAAGGCAGGAGCCTCCCTTGAAATAGAAAATGTGAACCCCCTTCCCCCAAATTGTTGTAATTTTGAAATTAAGGGGCTCTCAGGCAAAGATATGGGAGCAGGGATAACAGTTCTTTATTAGGGAAGGAAAAAATAAACCAAACCAAAGCAGTAATACAAAACAACAGTGACAGAGTGAGAATATGGCCTGACTCCCTGTGTGTCAGAGTGTTGGTAGCAGTCCCATTAAAGGGTGGCTGCAGTCCTCCTGCAGAGACAGGTGTGGTTCTGCTGAAGCAGGGATCCTGTAGAAGAGTGGAGTTTTCCTCTGAAGATCCAGTGGTGGTGTGGATTGTTCTGGTCTTCCTCTGGGAATCCAGTGGGAAAGGGCCGCTCCTCTGGGAATCCAGTGGGAAAGGTGCTGTGGTGTTCCAACTGTCAGATTATATCCAGGAAGGAATGCTTGGCTCCTCCCCCTGGGCGCAGCTTCTCCCAATGGGATGATGTAATTCTATCAGCCATGCAGTGACACTCAATGGCCCACGAACACAAGATATTTCCCTGAGGCAGGACTGGTCTGTGGGACAGATAAAGAAAACTGCCCCATTAAGAGGAGAGAACTGCCCCAGCTCTAACAGATACAGAATAGAATTCACACCCCCAGGCACATCTTGCATTTCCAGCCTAAGCCAGTTGGCTAGAGCTAATCTGCCTGTACATCAGGAGAGTCTGCTCCCAGCAGAGGTCATGGGCAGGTCATCGTGGGGAGCATTTAAAGGGGAGCCACTGGGTGAAATCTGACCTTTGGATGATGAAAAAGTTCCAGCCCCTTCTGCAAACCATCCCTTAGTCTTCATTAGCACGAGCACACACATCAATAAAAGAAATTGATCTTGCAAAATAATATTCTTGTCTCATTTATCTCAAGAAGCAAGCCTACAGTGTGGCTGCTGCTCTTGGGGAGAGAAGGGGTCATTCCCAAGCTCCATTTCCCTCTGTTAGAATCCAGGCTGGGGACCCCAAAAGTCTGGGAGGTGCCAAAGGAGCACTGTTCCTTGAGGGGCAAATCAAGACTTGAGGTTCCTTGACTGTATTAATTTGACCTTGGTCTGGGCTGTGGGGTTGGCTGCTCGTTCAGCTGACAGTGGTGTCGTGGGGGTTATTTTGGGTTCCTGCTGCTCACTGGTGTCTCTGGCTCCCCGCAGTCGCGCCTGACCAGCCAGAACGAGGCCATGGCCCTGCAGTCCATCAGGAACATCAGAGGCAACTCCCACTGCGTGGACTGCGAGGCACAGAGTGAGTACAGCACCTGACTGCACCTCTGACCCCTTCCCCTTGGCCACCAGGCCCTGGCAACACCCAGCCCTGCCTCCCTGGGGGGATACCAGCTCTCTGTTTCTCTGGGTCTGGACTGAAGGCACTCGAGACAGTAATTCCTGCTTGGACTCAGGTGTTTATTATTTCTTATCAGTAAAAGTCTCACAACCATGAGTTCAGCAGCTTTTCATCAGAAGGCACAAAATGGCCAACAATCTCTTGTTACAAGGTCTTTTGAAGCTAAACTATTCAATTAGGAATTTACACTTAGATTTCCCCTTTTAACCCAATAACTGATCCCAAGATGCCACCCAAACCCATGGAGAAGGAGGAAGAAGCAGCATGAAGAAGAAACCCAGGATGACACCCTGTGCCCTCCATCTTGCTTCCATCCACAACATACTAAAAATCCCAAAAACCTCAATTTCTCACCAAGTCATACACCTACACTGCTTTCTACAATCTACTTCACATTTTTGTGGATAATAGTCTATCTAGTCTATCTTCCAATCTTTAGGAAACTTTCTCCATGAATGAGGGTCAAAGTCAGTGCTCCCCTGGGGGTCAGGGCACCCCAGAGCGCACAGAGAAATATTCCCAGTGCCCTGGGTTTCCACAGCTCCCTGCTGTGGCATCCCCTCCCTTGTTTGCACATCTCTGCTTCGTGAAGGATTTGCTTAACCAGACTTGTTTGAACTTAATTTATGCTCAATATCTGCCGCATCAAGCACATCCTGATTTTTCCCCCTCGTTCTTTCACATTGAATGTCAGCATTTCTGTACTTCCCTTCAAAGAAAAGGCAGAAAGTTTGCTGTTTGACACCAGTCCCTTCCATTTCCCTCCTGTTTTGTGTGGTGAGAGCACACGTGCCATGGTAATATTTTCAAAGAGGTAGAGCTTGATTGCTGCTTTTTTGGTTTGGTTTTTCAGGCTTGCTTGTCAGAAGAAACCAAAGTCATTGCTCATTATATCTGGATACTAGAAAACTGATTTTGGATTTTTTTTTCCTTCCCCTTTGTGTTTCTTTCCCCGTTTTTTTTTTTTTTTTATTTTTTGAAACATATGCTTAGTGTTCAGAAGAGTGTTCTCAGGAATACTTTGAGCTGTGCTTCACCTCACTAACCCCGACTGAGGCCATTATTCTGGTGCTCTTTAGTTCCAGGGGTTTGCAACAAAGCCACAGAAAGGAAGTTCTCCTGCTCTAAAGCAATTAGTTGTAGGAGCTAAAGGACTGAGAACTTGTGCATTTTTATTTCTTTGATATTTGGAAGTCAGAACTTTCCTTGCGATTTTGACACATGCTTAAAATGGAAAAATATTCGCTTACTTTTCTTCAGGTGTGATTTTCAGTTTTAAAGATTGGCTGCTCGGGATTCTGACTCCTGGTCTCAGCCATTCTGACCCCCCAGTGTAAAAAGAACATTTGTACACAAGTGCAGGTGCTTTTGCACCAATAATTTGGTCCCTGCTTTCACTCTAAGTGATCCTGCATGAGCTAAACCAGGGAAAAGCTTGGTTTGAGTGGTGTTTTAGCACCTGGAGCCCAAAGCAAGTCTTATTTATTGGTGTGCTTTCACAGTGACCTGGCAGCCATTGAGATTTCCCCCAGAGCTCTGATGCAGCTGAGGAGGAAAAAGGCAGGAAGGGTGTGTGCTGTGGGTGAGGAGGGGGTCTGGGAGTGACCTGCATGGATATTTAGCTCATTCATGGATATTTAGCTCATTTGAAGTACTCACTGCTGCCTCTGAGCAGCCCATGGGGGGAGTGGTGCTGGGTCCTGCTCCACTGGGGGTGGCATTTTCCTAGCCTTGATAACTAGATATTTATTTATAAAATACACAAATATATATATTTTTTTTTTAATGGGAGGTTATATATCCATAAGATGCAATCCCTTCAGTGCAGACAGCTTTCACGCCCAACATCCTTCTGATCCACCTCAGCCCTACCCACACTCCACACTCCTAGCCTTGCTAACTGCATATTTACATATAAAATATACAAACATATTATTTTTTTTTTTTTTATGGGAGGCTATATTATGTATCTGTAAGATGCAATCCCTTCAGTGCAGACAACTTTCACACCCACACCATCGTTCTGATCCACCTCAGCCCTACCCAGGCTCCACACTTCTAGCCTTGCTAACTAGATATTTATTTATAAAATATACAATTATATTTTTATATATATTTATGGGAGGTTATATTATGTATCTATAAGATACAATCCCTTCAGTGCAGACAACTTCTACAACATCCTTCTGATCCACCTCAGCCCTGTCCAAACTCCACACTCCTACCCTTGCTAACTAGATACTTATTTATTAAATATACAAACATATTCTATTATTTATATATATATATTTATGGGAGGTTATATTATGTATCTATAAGATGCAGTTTCTTCAGTGCAGACAACTTCCACACCCAAAATATCCTTCTGATCCACCTCAGCCCTACCCAGACTCCACACTGCTAGCCTTGCTAACTAGATACTTATTTATAAAATATACAAACATATTTTATTTGTATTTATTTATTTATTTATTTATTTATGGGATGTTATATTATAGAACCATAAGATGCAATCCCTTCAGTGCAGACAATTTCCACAACATCCTTCTGATCCACCTCAGCCCCACCCAGACTCCACACTCCTAGCCTTGCTAACTAGATATTTATATATAAAATATACAATTATATTTATATTTATTTATTTATGGGATGTTATATTATATATCCATAAGATGCAATCCCTTCAGTGCAGACAGCTTCCACGATATCCTTTTGATCCACCTCAGCCCTGCCCAGACTTCCCCAAGGCTGGTGTTTCTCTCCCCAGCCATGCAGATATCCCAGGATTTATGCAGCCAGGATGGATGCTTCATCAAGAAAATGCTTGTACAAGAAAACAGCATATTTTTTTACCCTTTTTGGGCTTTTTTTTCCCCCCCACCCAATCTGGTTCTCAGCCAGATTGCTCATGGGTCAAGCTGGCCCCTGTGCCTGGTGCCAGAAGCAGGGATGTGCCAGGAGCTCATTGCTGGGAGAGGGCAGAGTGGGACAGCCCATTCTGGCAACACTCTGTCATGTGGCTTTTATGGGGGATGATTTTGGAATCTCAGCTGGACCTGTTTGCATTCTCACTGGTGATTTATACCCTCTTTGACTCCTCTTGCTGTTTGACCTTCCTGATTTTAAGGCCGCTGTCATTCCTTTGGAAAAATGTGAGATATTTCCAAAGCTGTGGATCTTAAAGTGTAAACACACACAGAGGAGGTCAACCTCAGCCTGCTGCTTTTTCTGCAGGGCTTTGCTTTATTCCCTTGCCTCCCTTGCTGCCTGGCCTGGGCAGGTCCTTATCCCAGAGCATTTAACATCACAAACCCCAGCACTCCGTGGAAGCCTCACGCTGTTTGCATCTCCACAGAGCCAGATGTTTGGGGGCACAGGAGTATGAGATGTTGCCATCCCTCAGCTCTATTCAGGAGCCATCAATCTTCCACTTCAGAAGTCTCATTCTCCCTCTTTCTGGAGCTCTTTGCCTTTTGAGCACTTTGTTTCACCAGGGAATTCTGCCTTGTTGGATGCTGATCCAGCAGCTGTGTGCCACCAGCATCCCGGCCCTTTGGCAGCCTCCAGCTAAAGTTATTCCATATTCTCCTGCCAACATTCCTATATCAGAGCAAGAAAAGAGGCAAAATACTCTTTAGGAGCTGAAGTTTGTGCCCAGGATCTCATTAAATGTTTCAAAAGGAAGCTGGTGCTGCCTTTTCCCAAAGCAGCAGAGTCCCGGTACTGACTCTGGAAAAGCCACCCAGGGTGATCCAGTAGTTCAGGCAAACCCAGCTGAATTCTGGATTTGGGCTCAGCAGAGGATAAATAGCAGTCACCTCTTCCAAGATACCTGGAGAACATGGAACATCAGATCTTTGCTGTTGTAGAAGACAACAGGGAGGGTTTAAAAACATGGATTCTCATCATGAGCTTTCCATTCCAGGAGTCTGATCACATACTGTGGTGTATTTTGTATTTGAAAGCCAAACACTGAGATAATAATATTTGGACAATCTTGTCCTACCCATCACAAAATTCAGTTTTTCATAAAGAATAGGATAAAAGAAAGAATAGGAGAGTTGCAAACTTTTCTCCCCCTTCTGCAGCAACTGGACATGCCTTCACCCCTGCTTCTTCTTTCCCTGGCTCTTCTGCTCCTCCTTCCAGCAATTCCTGCTGCTCAGCCCAGGGATATCTCACAGCTGCTGACCTCAGGAAGGTTCAGCCTTTCATCAGAATCCAAAGGGATGAAGGAGTGGTGAGGGGTTATTCCCCTAAGAGAGTGTTCACCTCCAAATGGTGAAGCTGATTGAAGTGAGAGTCAGAGTGGGGAAGAATTTTCAGGGAAGGAGTGAGCTGAGCGTTTTTGAGGCTATGAACAGCTGAAAATTGTAATCTGGTTGTATTCAGTGGTGCTAAAAAGCTCATTTTTTGTTTGACCAATTCTAAGTAAAGCACCTCTAGCTGCACTGAGTGAGCTTTTTCTTCTTTTTGCTGTCAAACCTTGATGGCCACGCCTGCCCCATGTTTGTGAACATCCTCCAATTCAGAGTTACTCTCACCACCAGCAGGAAAAGGGAGCTGGGTTTGTATCATCTTTAAAGTAAAAAAAAAAAACCAACCTTGAATAGTTACAGGTGGAAAGCTGTAACTTGTGGTGTGCATTGGTGATAACAATTTTTATTTCTGTAACGAGTTCAGCCCTTGCCTTGCCTCGTTTGCCACTTTACCACCCAGCTCTGTGTTGTCAGGTTGTTGAAATTGAAAATAATATCTTGCTAGAATTTCATGGAACCTCCTGGTTGTTGTTTTTTTTTGGGGGACTGCTTCAATCCTAGCAGTGCTGGCAACTGAGAGGCTCTTCCAACCCAAACCATTCTGTGTTTAAAGAATTTTTTCAGTACGAGATGCTCTACACGTGCATCACGTAGAGAGGTGTTTGGGAGGGAGGTCAGGTCCTTAACTCCAGTTCTGTCAGAATAATTGGAATAATGTGAGTTGCTATTCCATTCTCCTGCTTCATTCCGAGTTCATGCCTCTTGGAGCTCATTGCACTTTGGATTTTTGTGAGGATAACCCTGACCTTTGCAGGTCAGGGGTTTCATCCGAGTCACAGTTTGCAAATTTCAAATTATTACTTGCTGTGTTCAAATTTATAACAACAAATTGAGATTTTGAGGGGGTTTTAGTGTGTTTCTGGTACACCACTGGTTCCCCCACTGGCAAAACAACAGTGGGGGTATATGAAGAATTATGGAATTGAAAGAGTTCGTTGTAGTTGTTGTACCAAAAGCTTGGAAAGCATGGCAGGAGTTTTGTCTCACCTGATTTTTTGGAGATCTGAAATGTTGTATATTTATAATGTGGATATTAAATTATGTATAACATAGGACTTGTTATGGACAGGAACTTTGAAACAAAGGTGTGCTTTTCTGCTCAAGTGGAATAAGATGGGGGATTTTTCTTCTTGCTTGCATTTTTAGATTTCAATGGACTCGTTGAAAAATGTCAGTCAGTGCCTTCAGTGAAATGTGGGACTTCACAATTAAAATTATGAGCTTTCCTTTCCTATTTTTTGTCCAAACATGACATGGGAAAGAACTAGAAAATGTTTTGTTTGCACATATTTTGGCTGCCAGAAATAGCTTTTCACAAAGTCGAGACGAGTCTTTGGATGGATTTTTCACAACAGAAGGAAACACTGGAAATTCATTTTCTGTCAGCTCCAAATTTTATTTAGATAGGAACAAGAATTGCCTGCCCTCTTAATTAATCCCCATTTTCCTGCATGGCATTTGGGGTAGTTCTTTGGGATGCACAGAGTGAGGCACAAAAAAAAGATCTGACAGCAGGGGGTTAGGAAAAACCAACCAGAATTCCTTTCATGTGTCTTCAGTTGCATTTGTTAGGGTGAATGTTTGTTGGAGAGGAGGCAATCCATACAAATCTAGATTTGAATCACACAGGACAGTGGCAAAAGAGCTTTGAACCATGTTGGGAAATGGGATTTCCCATCCTGTGCCAGGTTTGTCCCAGTGTCACTGTTTGTGGGGTTGTTTGGGATGGGTGCAATCCTTCTGGCTCATGCCCTGGGACCAGGCACATTCCAGGTGGGACATTTCCACCTTGGTGTTTATTATCCCGCTGGTGCTGGAGATGTAAGAAGAGTCAGATGGAAGAGCCACACATAGCTTGATGGAGTTAGCAGGAGATAATTGTTTCTAGGGTTTGTTTTTTTCTCCTTTTCCCCTTTCTGCTGACTATGAGCAGCTCTGGGTTCCCAGGGAGGGACTTTCTTCACTGCTCCATCATCCTTTACCCACCCCCATGGTTATATTGCCTCTGTTTCTCCTTTCCCCTCTAATTCATTGGGGTTTTTTGGCTGGAGGTGGAGTGATGCATCCTTTGAGACACCACATTTCATTTTTCTGTACCCCTTGAAGGATTGGCATCCCCACTGACCCTGGATGGCCTCCCAGCTGCTCTTTAGGACAAGACGCCTCCAGAACCAAAACCTTCATGCACAACCACAGCTGGGAAGTCCTGTGGGATGTTCCCTTGCACTAACTGCTGTGTCCTTGCCCTGCAGACCCCGACTGGGCCAGCCTCAACCTGGGGGCCCTCATCTGCATCGAATGCTCAGGTATCCACCGCAACCTCGGCACGCACCTGTCCCGCGTGCGCTCCCTGGACCTGGACGACTGGCCCATCGAGCTCATCAAGGTCATGTCAGCCATTGGCAACGAGCTGGCCAACAGTGTGTGGGAGGAGAGCAGCCAAGGCCACGTGAAGCCTTCCCCAGACTCCACCAGGTGGGTTCATGCTCGCCGCGCCTCGCCCGGCACGCAACGCCGCCGCCGCTTCGGAGTTCTCCCTTGTGGGAAAGTCATGGTTTATAACCTCACCTTGTGTATAACCTCTCCTTGTTTATAACCTCACACTGTGTATAACCTCACCTTGTTTATAACCTCACATTGTTTGTAACCTCCCTGTGTGCCCAGGGAGAACGTGTGCCAAAGCGGGAGGTGGCAAAAGTTGAGTAACCTCGTTGATTTCTTGCTCTTGTGAAAGTTTGCTCGGCAGCTCTGCAGTTTTCTGTTCAGTGGGAGATGGGAACCTCCCACCTGCTTCTTCCTCCATCCAAATTGTCCTGTCATGGGCTCCTTTGTCTCAGTGGGCCACCAAGTTCCTGCCTTTTGGCCTGTCAGTTTGTCATTAACAATGTCCCTTCGGAGTGTCAGGGGATTTGTACCTGGCTGTCAGGTCCTTGGTCCTGCTCAGGGGTGTTCCAAGTCGTGCTGGCCATGTGTGGTGTTTTCAGGGTCTCCCGTGGCAGGAAGGAAAGATGAATTTGATTCTATGTTCTTAGAAGGCTGATTTATTATTTTATTATATTATATTAAAGAATGCTATACTAAAACTATACTAAAGGATGCAGACAGAAGGCTTAACAAGATAATGAAAAACCTGTGACTCTCCAGAGTCCTGACACAGCCTGATCGGGATTGGTCATTAAGTAAAAACAATTCACCTGTTGGATAAACAGTCTCCAACCACATTCCAAAGCAGCAAACACAGGAGAAGCAACCAGATAATTATTGTTTTCATTTTCTCTAAGACTTCTCAGCTTCCCAGGACAAGGAATCCTGGTGAAGGGATTTTCCAGAAAATATGATGGTGACAGCCATGGACTTGTTGACTTTTTTTGTGTGTGATTTATGTGAAACCATGAGCTGCTGGGGGGGTGTCGCCTTTGAGAACAGCTCTTTACCTGCCTCTCATATCCCACACAGTGAAAATCTTCCTGTGAGGTGCTGTCCTACCTAAAACTGGGGGGTTTTAATGCTGAATTAATCTGATCAGTGTCAGAGACAGATGTGTTGAGAATACTTATTCCAGTTTTGGACCAGGTGGAAGGATCACTGTGCCTGGGCCAGCTCCTGCAGCAGAGGGCTGGGTTTGTGCTGTTGAGTGTAGAAAAGTCAACTGTTCCTTCTTGCATTATTTCGTTAGCCCTGAAAAATGAATTTGTGGTGCCACCTTTGGTTCATCTTCGAGAATGAAGCCACTGCATTAATCAGGCTGCTTAGATGAATGGCTGTGCATCTAAAAGTGCTCAGGGAGCCCCAAAGAGAGGTTTTGTTCAGGCAGAAATGGGGTGGCTGCTCTATACCTGTGTATTATTGGGCACAATGATTTCATCAGGTAGATTGAAAAGAACTTTCAGTCGTTGCTATCACTTCAGTACAGAGATTTTATATTCTTGCACCTCACAAAGATATGTTGCTCCTTACTGCTGAGTGAGTGGTTCTAAACAGCTGAAAGGAAAATGCTTGCACTCAATTGGAATGCTATTAAAAAAAAAGAAAAATCACTTTATTTCAGTAGTCATATAATAATCATCAGGAAAAATCTAAAATCCATGTGACTGTGATGAAAAGAGCACCATCCATTTCAATTAATAATTCACTCAGGATTGAATTTTACTTCTAGAAAATCAACTATTTTTCTCTTAGTATTTCATACACAGGGCTTATTTTAATTCTCCCACTTTGTTTCTGTGCATCTTCATGGTTATATTCAGCTGATTCTGATTGCCACTGATATCACTGCACTTTCTCTCCTGCACTGCAACATTTTTGGACAAAAAGATTCATTTTATAGATAGGATTTTCTAGCTCTGTGTCCAGGTTCACGCTTGTGTGATAGAAGAGGTGCTAGAAAAAGCAGAATTAGGATGATGTGGAAATTCTCCCACAAAGCAATTGCAGTCTTGCTTTGCTGCTCCCATTCCTCTGCTCTTTGCAGCAGGGACTGAAATGCAATTTTTTACATAAATACAAGAGAGTTCTGCTTTTTCCAAGTGTGTGCCTGCTTTTGTGCTTCTCTTTGGGCTCTGCTAGCATCACAATCCTTCTCTCCAAGCTGTGGTGAGAAAATAAATTCAAGTTCTTCAGGCAGAGGCTGTGCTCCCCATGTTCCCACTGCTGCTTGGAGTTTTGCATGAGGAATTCTATGGGAAGCAGGTGAAATGGCCCTGAAAGGAGGGTTAAATAAATCTTCCTTTTGTTGTTGTGGAGGGACTGAAGGGGGAAGAGGCACCTCCAGGAGAGCTGCAGAGGGAGTGGGGACAAGGCATGGAGGGACAGGACACAGGGAATGGCTCCCATTGCCAGAGGGCAGGGATGGATGGGATATTGGGAATTAGGAATTGTTCCCAGTGAGGGTGGGCAGGCCCTGGCACTGCCCAGAGCAGCTGTGGCTGCCCCTGGATCCCTGGCAGTGCCCCAGGCCAGGCTGGAGCACCCTGGGACAGTGGAAGGTGTCCCTGCCCATGGCAGGGGTGGCACTGGGTGGTCCTGCAGGTCCCTTCCAGCCCAAACCATTCTGGGATTCTGATTCTGTGATGGGCCCTCAACAGACACTTTTAGAGGGGATCAGGTGGGGTTCACCTGTTCATGTTGTGGATAAAGCCATCAATGGAAACCCATAGATTTCTAGGGACACCAAAAAATAAAGAAGTAATGAGCTGCTCCACAAATACTGAATTCTTGAGCTGGGAGGCTCAAGGAGTGTTCACAGGCTGGACCAAAAGGAACCTGAAAGTCCTGATGTGGCTTTCAAAGGAGTCCCTTCAGCCTGGGAGAGGCTGGCACTGATCACTGTGTGCTGGCAGTGGCATCCTGTGTGTTTCTGTGGAGTGGAGGAAAGGATGGAGGGGTTGCTGGAGATGGTTTTTGACAGGAGGAATTGCCACATGGCTACTCCAGATCGTGGCATAATGAAGGAATCCTACCCAGGAAAATGGCACCAGTATTTCTGAAAGCAGAGCTGTGAGTAGAGCTTGCCTTCAGTCATTTTGCACACTCTCAAATAAGATACCAAATTCAAGAGCTTTTTATGGTCTGCACCTCCCTCATAAGGGACAGCTCCAATGTGACAGGGACAGAACCCAGGGAATGGCTGGAGCTGTGTTGGGGATGTTTAGGTTGGATTTTAGGGGAAGGTTCTTCCCCCAGAGGGTGCTGGGCACTGCCCAGGCTGCCCAGGGAATGCCAGAGCTCCAGGAGGGTTTGGACAACTCTCCCAGGAATGCCCAGGGTGGGATTGTTGGGATTCTGTGCAGGGCCAGGGGTTGGATCCATGATCCCTGTGGGTCCCTTCCAGCTCAGCATATTCTGTGATTAAACCGTGTGAAATGCTGCTGTCCTTTTCTAGCCCACTCACATGCACTTCAGATTCTTCATCCAAGCAAATCATGGGAAAATTTTACACACTCTCCCATCTCCCTTCTGAGATGGGAGAGTGTGTAAAATCAAAGCCTTCAGCAAAAGGCATTATCCCTCCTGCACTGAGCAGGAGTATTGCCCAGCTGTATCCTCTGATATTGATATTTTCCAGCTCACATCCACCTGGAGAGGCAAGCAGCCTGGTCTAGAGGAAGGTGTCCCATGGCAGGGGTGGGATGAGATGGGCTTTAGGGCCCATTCCAACCCAGACCATCCTGTGATTCTCCAGGCAGATGTCCAGGGTGTTCAGTGCCCCTGTCAGTGAAAAGCAGCCCCCAGGATGGCCTCTGGCACTGACCTGAAGGCTTTGGGAGCACAGGTGTGCTGGGATCCCCAAGGAGGTGGCTGAGGCAGGGCTGAGGGTGTTCCTGGGATTTTGGGAGGAAGGAGGAACAAACACGAGCTCTGCTGAGCACAGAAAGTTGGGGAAATGGTGGAAAAGCCAAACACTGGAGTGTGAGAGGGAGCAGGGAGCAGCTGGCCCGAGCTGTGGTGTCCGTGGGTCCCTGATTAGGTCAGTAATTGGTTCCAGCAATTACCAGCAGCCCCAGAACACAGCTCCAACTTGGGGAGGCCTGTGACAAATTGGAGCTGACTGCTGCTGAAGGAGTATCGACTTCCCATTCCTAAACAGGGGCATCATTAGTCAAGAAAAGCATCTTTTAATTACTCCCAGCAAGAAGAAAAAAAGAGAAAGAGCGAAAAAAAAGGAGAAAGATCTTTGGGTATGGATCCTGCAACAACTGCCAGGTTTTTTTTGCAAGTGTATTCAATATGAAATTTATTGTCTCAGAGGGGAGGGGGTGAGCAGGGGGAGCCTGCCTGCAGTCCCTCCTTGGGTAATGCAGCTTTAATTTGGAGTGAGAAGTCAAATTAGAGTAAATCAATGTTGCAACAATTAACTGGGGCTGGGGATGGGATCAGGATTTTCCCTCTAATTGCTATTGATACTGTTTGAGCACACTCTCACAGGGCTGCTTTGGAGTGCTGCAGCGCTGGAGGAGCCCTGTGGGGCTCAGCAGCTCTGTGGAGGAATGTTGGAGATGTGGGGAAGCCAGCTTGGGAATTCTTTGCCTGTTGCACTGGGGTGTCCATCCCCTACCAGATATTTGGCTTTTTCTGGACGTGCCTCACTTGTTTTGCTTTGTCCTCGTGTTCCTGTGGCTTCTGGTTTGCAGACTCATTTGGCTTCTCAAGGTGGTGTTGGCCTTTTCCAGAGGAGACAAGCTGCCCCCATCCCTCTGCCCCTCCAGGAGATGGTTGTTTATCTGCTCCCTCACCCTCCTTCCCTGAGCTCCATCTCTCTGGGAGTGTTGGGATGGATGTGCCACCTCCACCAGCTGGAGCTTGCCAGGCAAGCTGGGGGAAGGCAGGCTCATGTCCAGGCACCTTCCCAGCCACACTGGGATGTTGTTCTGCTGCTCAGACAATGCCAGATATCTGCACTGGCTGCACACAGACAGGGCTCCACCATCCCAGCATCTCCTTGAGAGCATTCACAAGCAGGTGGAATTTCCAACTCC